TTCCCTGTTTGATTCTGCATTAGGCCAGCAACTTCTGACTGCACAGCTCGAGAAAGTAGCGGAAATTGCTGTTAAATATGAGGCACATAAATGAAGTGTCAAATATCGCCCTGTATACAGTATGGATTGTTGCTTCAAACAATGATGAATATTTCTGATACTTGATAGCTAATCTCCGACCTCCATTCTGGAATTTAATCAATTTTAATCAAACATTAACCCACAACAAGTGACGTTAATTTCTTCGCCACTATTTCGATTGCAATAATTGGACCTGAATACAATTAATTTCAATCTGGATCATTCTAGGATTACACAATTCAAATTAATGTATTACTTCAATCGATTTCCTGCAATTAGAGTTTAAGGATAACGTGTGTCAGTGTGTCTGGCTTCTAACAAAAGCCTTTTAGCCACACACATTGACCACAATCAGAGCCTAATCAGATTTTGCAAACACAGCTATTTATGTACCACTCTCTTTTCAACCTGCTAAGTCTTTTAATATTATAACATTTCCTTCTCTGTTTACCCACCACGCAGTTCTTTTACTTGGGAGTTGTCATGCTAAAACAATTGAATTTCATAAAAACATCAACCCACACGCAAATCACGTACCAACCCGGCTGTTTTTGTTTCTTTCTCCCATCTTGGACCGCACTGTATTTATGCAAGATTTGCGAGATGTTGTTTCTAGAGGGTCGACGTCGTCGGGTTCATTGTCTTGAGTTGTGTTATTTTTCATTTCTTTAACAAAGTTTCCTACTCCTCCAAATGTAGCGCAATTCGGTGGTTTTCGGGGGTGGTTTGCGACGAGCATACTCACTGACTGAAATGATTTGTTCCAAGAAAACGACGGCGACTGAAGTCCTAGCGCACGCGTATGAATTTTTTATCCAAATGCATAATTATATTATACGGCGTGGAATTGTTCTGGTTGTAAAAATGTGTGTCTTATTATCGTTGATGCAATTTTGGGGACAAGCTTTTTTCTTTTTGTATTAGGAGGGCGGCGCTCGAGGATTGTTGCTTGAATCATAATAAAAAGCTGTTTTGAGTTTGACTTGTTATTGCCATTATTGTTGTTGCTGCTGCAACGCGATCCAGCATAGCAGCAGAAGCAGTTTTTGCGTACGGGCTGAAGTTTGCATTCCCCATTACAAGGTGGGAGGAAGCCATTAAATAAATCGCGGAATTGAGAGTTCCCGAGAAACCTTAGCAAGAACAAAATTGTTTGTTTGGAGCTAAACTTAAGGTTATAAGAAGGTATACAATTGTGATTGGTTGCAGCAGGGGCTTCGAGTGCTTTTCAATGTTTGTGGCTGTGAAATTTGTATTTCCGTGCCAGTTTATGTAAGTCTTTTCCTATATATCTGTTGATAATAAAAGAGTACATTATAAATTATGTCACAAAATAGCATTTGAGAAACTCTTGAAGAAAACAGAACAGCGATTTGAAGACATCAACTAGGTAGGAAGAATGTTTTCGAATGCAGAATAACGGTCCTTAAAATGTAACACTTGATTTTTCAGCTCTGCCTAAGGATTAGTCTATTTTCTAGGCTATTCATGATTGTTTTAGAGTTATTTAGAATTTTTTGAAAAAAGTAAGTCGTCTTCAGATAACTTTTTGAGCTTATTAATATGGACATTTTGTCGAATAGAATTAATCGATGTTTCTAAACAATCACGATATTTTCTGCAATATTGTTGATTGCATCTGAAATTGAACTGCTATATAAAAATGCATAAAGTGGAAGAAAAGCTCACATTTCCGTCATATTGTTTTGGTGCGTTCGGTGCACTTATTGCTTGCTTCATAAGGAACTCGTCCACTGAAGACAACAAGACGGTTACAAGTAAACGTGCACTTTTAAGTGGAAACTCGCATATTTGTCCAGTTTGGTGGGAAATGCACAATACCTTAAGTAATTTTTGTGAAATTGCTCTAAAATGAGAACGATAAGAGATAAACAATTTAGTTTTCAACAAACAACAACAAACTTTGCTGAAGGCTGTGAGTTTCTATTTTTCAAAATTCAGAATGTTTGTTTTTGAATTTCCATAATTTGAGATAATTTGGGAATCAGCCAAAATAAGGAGCATTTTAAGTTTTCCAATTACACCAATGGCCCTAAACATAGCTCAAAAGCACTATTACTATTGTCTTGCTTAATTCTCATGCTGGACCATAGTAACGTGGTGTAATCTCGTAATTGTTCAGATATCCGGAGAACTTCGAGATTAGGGCGTAATTGCTTTTTGTAAACAAATACGAGAATCACCGATTTCTCGCGCATTAAAGCTCGATCTCGAAAAATAACAACACAAACAGGTAGAGGAATTACTTCTCTATCATTTGGTATAGTTTGTTTGCGAGATTGAGCTTTTATTCGCAAGCAATCGGCGATTGACGTATTTGTTTACAAAACCAATTACGCCCAAATCTCAAAGTTCACCGGACATATGAATTTACTTTGTTGAACAAACCTGTGTATCAAATCATCCACGACTTTAACAGCGTCCCAAGTAACGACATATGTCTAACCATATTCATAAAGTATATATTCATCATTTCGAATCTATTTTCATGTATATCAGATGTCATAGGTTTTCCAAACCGTTCTGGAGATCTAATCTGTTGATCTTCGAGATCAACCATGACTTCAACAGTGTTCTTTGCAACATAACATGTCTAGACTTACTCAAAGTGTGTAAATGTCCCATTAACGATCTACTTCAACATTTGGAGATCATAAAACATCTGATCGGTGCAATGCATCGGTACTAATGCGCAATGACTATCACATGCATGAAAATAGATGGTTAATTAGGGGAATAGGCACTACGAGTTAGATTGAACATGTATTGTTGCTAAAGAAATTTTAAAGTTGTGGTTGATCTTGTTGATAAACTGATCTGAAATCCAGGATCCATCTTATATAGCTAAAAATAGATCGCAAATAATGCACATAGACTCAATGAATATGTTTCTTGCAAAAAACATTGTTAAGGTCGTGGTTGATCTCGTAGATCAACATATTTGATATTTTGAGAACCTCAAACATCTGATATAGATGAAATGGCAAAGCGGCACTGGTGATGTAGTGGTAAGCGTGATTGCCTCTCACGCCAAAGGGATCCAATCCCAGTCGGAAACTCAGTTTTTTCAATGAATGCAAACAAATTCAATATAGAAAATTTAAACACATCCCTTTTACAAGCAAGATTTATTTATTTATGACATTTTTTAACTTGTATTTTCAACTCTACATTAGAAAAACAAACAAGAAGAAAAATACTTATTTACGTAAAGCAAATATTTACTCCCCCTCCCCTATGTAACAATTCGTAACGATAGAGATGGCTCCCTTTTCCCCCTCTTCTCCTTGAAGTGTTACGCATTTTATAAACGCCGCCTGAGGCGCGAGCTCAACGAGTTTTTACATAGCAACTTTTCTATAAAATGCATTCCAGAGGGAAGGCGAATTTCCACTCTTATTTTACAACGAAATAGTTTTTCAGAACAAAAAAAAATAAATTTAAGAATCTTAATATGATTAAAACTTATAGAAATACAGATGTTTTTGGACTTTGGAAATTTCTGCGATTCCATATTTGACTAATTGAGATTTTGGGCCATGGGAAATTGTCAAGGCTCTTGAATGAATTGACGGGAAAAAACTTTTCAGTGAAATTCGATGAAAATTGGCAAAACTTAAAGAAAATTTTGTTGTGTAGTGTAGTGTAGTGTAGAAAATATAATGGAGAATTCCATGGGAGTTATGAGTAGAATTACATGGTAATTCTGAGGAGTATTCCATAGATATTTTAAAAAGAAGCCCTAGAGCTCTCTGACGATGATTCACTGGAACTCTAAGCTGATTTGAATTCTGATGATGAATCCATAGAAATAGAAATTAAAATTATAAGGGAATTCATACCAAAATTTCATGAAAATACTGACATGAACCCCAAAGAAAATGTGATATGAAATCCTGGACAATTCTAATTAGAATATAAATTTTCCAGTACATTAAAATTGCATGAATTAATTCAATTAATTTTTTAAGAATTATGAGGAAAATTTTAGTGATCAGATCGGTAGCTCAAATTGATCTTGCTATTAAGTGGAGCTGCATACAAGACAAGATCTTCGAAGAGATGGTGGCTACCTTACATACAATTATAAGGAAAATTTTAGTCAAATATATATAACACTCATGACGAACTCCATATCAACTACATAAATAAAATTTATTTTTTTCAACTACCTACGGTTCATTCACTTGTCCACCGCGAAAGACAAAATTCACAGCCAACAATGTACCGGGTGCAATACGTGCCCTTTGTAAACCGTATCTCCGAGGTCGCACTTTGTGAAGTCTTGCTGGTGAACTGTACAAAAGTTACACACTAATAATAATAATAATAAAAATAATAATAATAATAATAATAAAAAAGACAACGCAACATCACTTTCACAGGCAACTTAGCTGCCTTAGTTATCATCTTTTGTTGTGGATACAGACCGAGAGACGCTTATGCATATATGTAAGTTACGAGGGTAAAACTGAGGTTTCCATGAATCATAACACAGGTCTTTCTTACCTTGCCTACCACGGCACCGTGTCGATGCATTCGCAGAGATTGTGTGTATGTATTTTAGCAAAGGAAAAAAAAGTCAGGAAAAACTTGAAACCGTTTCAACTTTTTCTCCTCTATCTACTGTTGCTGGGCCTGCCTGGGAAACGAAGCAGGTGCGTTGCCCCCCACGCCATGCGGCGACAAAAATATAATGCTGAGAACTTCTTGTCAGCAGCGGTACGAGCCATTCCTAGGTCAGAATTCATCGGTCTTAGCATAATCATAATAAACACACAATATCCAACGGAAGAAACTGAAACAACAGTTACGCCAAAGTTTTTCGCACGCATTGGCCCGTTTTTACAATGCCCGTCCATTTCTAATGTCTCTATTTTTCCTCTCTCTCGTTACAGCTTCCCTGCGGTTTATGCTAGTGGTGATAGCGATACTGGTCCTGGGTGCCAACGCCGATAAGACGATGGACACCCGGGAGGGTGAGGACGTGACACTCAAATGCCGCTTCAACGAACACTACTCGGACCGGGAGTACTCTTACTACTGGGCCCGGCAGAGTCTCAACAAGTACGACAATGTGGCCATCAAGTCGGATACCTTCAATCAGAACTACAAGTAAGTATCGACCATCATCGTCTTCGGTTGTTGCTGCGACGATCGCGAATGAATTTGTTAAAACCATAATTAGACAATGGGTGGACATGATGGACAGACAGAAAGTCGAAACGGTGAGGTGCATTCATCCGTGGATGTTCGATCGATCGTAGTTCCTCTCTGGTTTGACTGAGAGGGTGAGGGGGAAATGCTTCGTCATGAGCGTCAAGGTTTTCGATTTCAATGTATGTTTTTATTTGATGATGGGTTTGTTGGTTCCTTAGCCGGTGGAGTTAATAAGGCGTAAACGGCCATGAACGTTGCCTGCCCCACGATGGGTAAGAAAAACACCATCCATAATGCGGAAGCGACTGTGAAGATGAAAAATTAGTCAGAGTGTTGGAAATATCTTATTGTTTTAGCTGTGAAGAATCTAAAGCTAACAAATAAAACGATCATGTTTTGATGAAACATAAGTATTTTGTTTGTTTTTGTTTCATCCGGCATGAATGAAGTCTAATTTAATGTTGGGTTGTTCTTGTGCACTAAAAAAAAGGAAACAATTCCCTTAGTTTGATATTACCAACAAACCTGTTTGCTGACGAAGGACGAATAAACTGAAAAAAAAGTTGCAATTGAAGATTTGGGGATGAATAAATACAGGATTAGACACCTCCTTCCGTTGCGTGGACAATCATTCATGCACATTTTAAAAGTTTGTATGGGCCAAGGGCATTCGTCAAACCCTCCCCTACCTAAACTTTCCACGTGGTATATGGGTAGCTATTTTGAAACTTACAACAGAAGAATCATTTTTCGCTCATTAAACTACTGAAAAGAGCAATAGGTAATAAATTAAAAGGTTGCGACAGAAATGTAAAAGTTGTAATGGAATAAAATTGCTTTGCCAATATATAATCAAAAAAAAAAAATTCGTTTGTAATTTGAATATTTATATGGAATATGTTTATAGTGGCCATACATTAAAATTATTCATCACAATAAAATAGAACTTCTGCTCAGGAGGGTGGTACCGAGCAAAAATATCATAACTGGTATCAAAACCGTCACACGCACGTTAAGATCAGTTTACCCAGATTGTGCTAAGAGATCACCTACATCTTTATATGAGTTAGTTTTATCTAACTCACTTGGGTTATAAGTTTTGCCCACTTTATTGGCTTATCTGATCTTAGCGTGGGGCGTCTAATTATAGTGTACATTTTGATTATCTCGAGTGCGAAGAGTTATCCAAATTTCGACACCAATTGACGGAGGAGAAAATATGCATGCACGAATTTGCTCCCAAAAATTTGGTGTCATCCAAAGGAAAGCAGAATCTTGCTCCCCTTTGAAATTGCAACGAACGTGAAGTTTGAATATCCTGATAAAACTACTTGCAATAAATATATGCATTGAGAAAAGTTACTTGGTCACCATATTAAAAAATATGGTAATCCTCATGCCGCGGATACACTTGTTTGACAAACTATGAGCATGAGCATTATTTGTAAATTATGAGCGCATCCATGGTCACACTTGTATAATGTTTGGATGTGCTCATAAATTATTATACAAATAATGCTAATGTTCATAATTTGTCATACAAGTGTATCCGCGGCATAAGTACCAAAATCTAGGCACTTGTTAGTAACGCGATATGTATGTAGAATGACAGGCTCACCACCCTTCAGACCCTTCGACCTTTCTCCATTTTGATATTTAACCGAAAACTAACTCCGTAATCAGCAAACGACTTCGAACACTTTCCAGAACATGACCGTTGAAGTCTTTGCCAAGGTGATATCGATGGACAAGGTTGCAACATTGAGCGATCATTCTGTATTTTACAGATTTTTTTGATCACTTCAGCACCAAGACTCTGTTCATACAGATATGCAGATTTCTATCTCAAATTCGAATTATACAGATTTTACTGAAATACAAATAATTTTCCTAATTATTTTGAAATTCTAGAACGATTTAAGACATCGTTGAGCACAAATTGTATTCAGTGTCCACAAAATATATTACCAATTTCTGAATTATTCTCATATTCATCCAGTAAATTATAGCTTTGCTAGAGACCTCATATACAGAAAATTTACCACGTCGCTTAGAAAAATATTAGTTCAAGATTCTTTTTTTCCTTGGTTTGTTTTCCGTCGATCTTGTTTACCGTACTGAGTATCAATGTTACCGGATGCCAGAAAGGCAGCTCCCACACCTGGACCCTACCTATCGACCAATCAACTCCTGAACCGGGGACCAGAGATTTTATGCCTCAGAAAATCTCGGCAGCGCCGACTGGGATTGAACTCAGGCCTTTTGGGGTGAGAGGCAATCACGCCTACCACTTCACCACCGGCGCCGTGGTTGATTCCAGTCCATAATAAATTTTATGAAAAATAAATTTCAGAAAGTGTCGTTCATTTTTTGATGTAAGAAGTACACCGAATTTGAATTGATTTGTTTTTGGTTGGAAATATGTAGTTCTCTAGGTGAAGAGTTAATTTTTTTCAGTTGTGAAAGGCTTAGTGTTTATTGAAATCAAGAAAAGTATGGAATTCTATGTCGACTGAAGAACGATTCAACTATTGCCAGTAAATACAGCTACACAAATCAATCATCTCCCCTCATCTTGACTTTTGCCCTTCCATTTTATTTCTGGCCTATGAAACACAAATATCGAGATTACAGCGCTTGCAGAATAAAAAAATGCGTTTGATATTGAGATGTAATAGATTTACTTCTTCAACTTTGATGCTAGACGCCTTACAATGGTTGTCGGTGAAGCAAAGAATTGTATATTTGACTATGGTGTTCATTTTAAAAGTAGTAACGGTTTGTTGCCTCGATATTTGTGTGATTGAATTGAAAGAGGAAGTGACTTTCATAGATATAATACTAGAAACGCGGATGAAATAAGAACACCGCATTTCTTGACTTGTGCTTCACAAAATTCATTATATTTTAAGGGAATAAATGTTTTCAATTCGATGCCTAGACATATCAAACGTTCAGCAACACCTACAGTATTTAAAAGACACTACATTTCACACGTTAAAACTGTCTTTTTAACAGCTATCCGGTGATTTTTTTTATGAATTGACAAATTATGTATCTTGACGAAATTATCTATAACTGATTATTTTGTATGGATAGCTGGCATAACGACTTTTTAATAATTATTGTAGCACTGCAAAAACTATTTTTGTTCGCCACGACGGTGATGATGGATTTTTAATATTTGATTTAATAGTAGTAGATTAATTAAAAAAAGAAGTAGTGTACAGTTTGAGCCTCGCGTGCGTATTATGGATGTAGAGGACTGAATTTAACATTTCAAGACCAACAATTGAAATGGCTTCAACTCCATTTTGTAAACAAACCTTGTAAGGCAATTTTCTCGCGAACCGAAGTCCGCAAAGGCAAACCAACATAATGAACAGGTAGGGGAAATTCTCATCTACCCGATTGTAGTTTAGGTTTGCGAATGTAGATTTCGGTTCGCGAGAAAATGGCTTTACAAGGTTTGTTTACAAAATGGAGTTAAGGCCATTTCAAATGGGGGGAGAGGTAGCTCATCGATTCTTCCGGTTCGCCTCCTAGCATCGTGCTATAAGGTACCAGGCGATAACCAGGGTAGTTGATCGATAGCTCGATGACGTCATTTCGTTGGAGTCTGCAATGGGAAATTCTCATAGCAGGCGTTGACGATGGGACGTTGTCGAGTTGTTGAATAGCAACTATCGTGGTAACTCACCGATTACCTGTCGATCTGCCGAATTTGGAAAGACGTCTGCATTGAATTGTCTCATATAATAATATTCCGCAAACTATATCACAAGAAATTGCGAGTAGCTGAGTGGTATGGAGATAAGTTAAGCATTGGGTACAGGACCAAGTCTCCCCTGGGTGGTGCCAAAAGATGAGCGCAATAGAATCATCAAGTTGCCATAAGGCACGGAATGAGACTATTGCATGGCTGGGTAGTCAAAGTCTTCCATTCGTTAGTCATTTCAGGTGGATTAGAACAGGTTTAGGTGGGCGTTGGCCAGATTTGGATTTTTCAGATGTAATCCTGGATAGGACCCTGTCATTGAACGTCGCGTGAAAGTGGAACTTAATGAAGGCCTAAGTACTTTTTCAAATTTGAGCAACGGTATTATGTGATATGAGGGGCTCGGTGGCCTAAGAGCAACCGTTTTTGCTTACTGAGCAGAACATCATGAGTCTAATCTCAGGCCCATCCACATTCAAGATTCGTCAATCGTTTTATTTGTTAATATGACTACATGGTAATAACAGCAACTCGGTGATTAAAAAGGTGCTCGTCTACCTAGTGGCAAACGTTTTTGCTTACTGAGCAGAAGACCGTGGGTTTAGTCCCAAGCTCCTTCGCGTTATATGATCGTTAGGACATCAATTCAGCTTATCGTTTACCAAAACGAACCCTGCTGCAAACCCAACCCTCTTATCCAACATCCCAGTGATTCCTCGTGGAAGTGCAGAGGTGTTCTCGGCTTCCATCAAAGCGAGTGTCATGTCAACACAATCCTTCCCATTCCTTTGTTGACCTGTGTTCGGGCGCGGCTGGCGCTGGTATTGCCTAATTTAAGATCACCAGTTTTTACACATTGAGGATGATTGCTAGTCCCAAGCATCGTCTATTGGTTCTCTGTGTAATTACAGCTGATCTGGCAGTAACAGAGTAGCAACAGTGGGCGGTCAATCAAGCCCAAGCTCAAGCTCAAGCTCAAAATGGAGTTAAGGCCATTTCAAATGTTGGTCTTGATTGGATAAAAAAATTCGATTTTGATGTTTATTTGGAAGATACCTTGAGTTAGTAGTAAGTATTCTGGCAAATGTTGGGGGTTCGTGAGCATTCCTGACATTTCTGATAATTATGATAGCATCAGATTGCGGGGTTGCTAGTGTAATAGGATGCTTTGTTGATTGTCATTTACTCTTGATTGCTTGTAAAACTTTTGAATATTTTAGGTGGACATAAAGGCGAACTAAGGGTGGACGCCTGAGTTTTTCCAAATTTATATCGCTGTGAAGCAACTGTAAACTCTAGAGGGAATTTATATCTGTAACTGTAACCAATTCTATTTTGTTTGCAAACCTGGTTAAATTGTTATATCTAATTATTTTAAAGATAAATCGTCCGGTTCAAACCTGTGTAGGGGTAAGAGGTGGGACCATCATCATCTATAGTGCTTGAAGATTATTGTCAATTTAGGAATGTATTGCATCTGTAGTTGGTACAACAACTGCAGCTTGAACTTTCAAACACTCAACATCTGATACTGACAAATACTTAAACTATTATAACTCCGTAATTTCCGAACAGATGTTTTATCTAAGGACTGTTCATTATTGAAAGTAGACATCTGTTTTTCAAAGAAAAATATTTATTCTCGAACAAATTCATAAGTTTACTTTATATAAATGAAAACCAACATACATATGACCGATTTCACGAGAACTCATGCATATGATTAAAAAACTGAGAACAGCAAAGTTTGAGGAAATTAATTGGGCTTTTGTTTAAAATACTTTCAAGATTGGACACTCACGAATAACATCTCAAATTATCAAAAATTGCTCAAATTATGCGAGAAGTGAATTTCAACCTACGAGTATCTCGAAAATAACAACTTTGGGCAATTTAAGCATTATGAGCATTTATGTTGTAAATTTAATGTGTTTTAATATTTACACTATTTCAAAGACATTCGATAACTATTGGTAGTATTTTGGAAAATACTTATTTTTTCAATAATTCATAACTTTTTTGTTTATGATTTGCCAGTGCACAGTGTCTTTTTTTTTTCCTTTGGTTTGTTTTTTCCGTCGATCTTGTTTTCCGTGCTGAGCACCAATGCTACCGACGTGCCAGGAAGGCAGCTCCCACACCTGGACCCTACCTATCGACCCATCAACTCATGAACCGGGGACCAACGGCTTTACTTCCCATCCGAAGGAAGGCGTGATCAGAGATGTTATGCCTCAGAACATCCCGGCGGCGCCGACTGGGATTGAACCCAGGCCTGCTGGGGTGAGAGGTAATCACGCTTACCACTACACCACCGGCGCCGTTTGGTGCACAGTGTCAGTAGGTAATACTGTACCTTAACTACAAAATAAATATAAAAAAATTGTAATAAATATGCAATTTGAGTAATTTTAATTTTTTTTGATAATTTTGTTTTTTTTTGTAAAAAAAAAATAATATATTTTTTCTTGAAAGGCACAACTCCGCAACTTCTTTTAAGACACCATCTCAATCAAACAAATCGTTCGCAAGATTTATGTTTTTCTATTGATGTGTATCATTTTTGCATAAGCCCTTTTCAAGTGTTAGTCGTGTACAAAACTAAGGAATCAAATATGTTGAATGACAGGTTGGACAATAACAAACAACTGTGCAAAGTTTCAACATAATCGTAGAAGGTCGATCAAAAAATTAAAAAAAAAATCGTCATTTGAAATGGAACTGCTGAGCAACATGGATTTTATGGTACTTTCACAGTGAATTTTATTATATTTCCTCTTGAATTTTAGTTAATTTCTTCGTAGCATACACATTATAAATTCACGTAGAATCTAAGTGAATTTATGTTACATAAATATCACTTGAAATTTAGCTATATTTCATCTAAGTTTCAAAGCTTATCACATTGCGTTTAATACGATTTGTAATTAATGTTATTAGCGTCAGGTACATTACACAGGGTGTCCATCCAACCGGGAAAACCGGAAAATCCGGGAAAAAACCGGGAATTCGGATGTGCCGGTAAAAAACCGGGAAAAATGCGGTAAAACCCAAATTGCACCGGGAAAAATCAAATATACTCATCCCAAGTAACAATTTAGGTTTTAGGTCTTGAAAGCCATAACTTTTTCTCAAAAGATCCTTTAAACCTTAATAAAACATGCAATGTTACTTGGAATCAATCAATTTTATATCATACACAAAATTTTAATCTCTTATTTACACATCTGTTTACAACTTTGTGTATTATGCCTTGCCAAACCCAGACAACCAGAAGTCGTATACCAGCGTACAAATAGAATCGTAAATTGCTATTGATAATGTCAACATCGCATACAAGAATGAGATGCGCCGTATAATGTTTAGGTTAAGTTGCAAAGAATGCAAATTTTCTACCTATTGGCGATGATTCATTTCTGTATCGTACCGTGTCACAAATAAGCGCGGATAAAGTAGTTTTAAGGAGAAAATAAATGCCTCTTTAATTCCACTTTAAGCGTTCGTGAGATATTTGACCCATTTAGTCGAATTTCAAGAACTATTTTAGCCATACATTAATGCAAGCCTTTTCTCCTCCTTCCAGAATCGATTACCGCCCGGAGAAGGGCATCTACGACTTGCAGATCTTGAATGTGTCGTACTCTCGTGATAACGGTCGGTACGAGTGCCGAATCAAGCTGTTCGGTGACGGTGAGGTCATCTACGAAGACTATTACAACCTGACGGTGCTGACGCCTCCTCAGCCTCCGCTGATATTTCCCGGTAGTGAAACCACCGCCACCGAGGACAAAGAACAGGAGCTGACTTGCAGCAGCGTTGGCGGATCACCGGATCCCATGATTTCGTAAGTGTTTTATTCGAGTCCTTATATGCATCTCGTTACTGGTTACTGAATTGCCGGCATTCTACAACATTCCTCTATAGGTGGTACCGCGAAGGCAGCACGACCCCACTGGCGGCCAATCAGCTTACCGGTGGATCGCGGGATGTGCAAACCACAAGCACACTGACAATCATCCCCCGCCGCGAGGACGATGGGGCCAAGTTTATGTGCGTTGTCTGGAATCGTGCACTGCCGGAAGGCCAACGGCTCGAGACGGTTACGACACTGTCCGTCAACTGTAAGTAGCTTGGGCACTTTTTCTTTCTTTCCTCCTCCTTAGTGTGACACCGCTCGCTCGTTGTTGTTTGTAGAAATATTTTATTGTTATTGAGGGACATGGGTTTTCATTTAACTTACCAGCTTCTTTTCGCAATATCATACTGATGGGCGGCCATGTAAGTGGTAGGGAAAGTCAGACTAACAAGACAAACTTTGCTGCACGACACGACACGGTTAGCTTGGGCATAGCAATTCACTTCCAGGAAGTTGGATATTATGCGAACTTCATCTTGTTAACGTACAAAATGATGCACACCCATTGATTATTTTAACAATTATATGGGATTTAGAATACTTTTTGTCAGCAGAATTCGCCAGTTCTGCGTCGGCGAATGAAATACCATTCTTCCAACACTGCATACTTACAACTGCAACGAGAAATGCAGCACAACTGTTTCCGAACTGGAACTATGCAAAGAGTTGTCAAAAATCTTAAACGGCCTATCCATTTTCTCTTGCCACAATGCTATTTTTGTGGCGTCTTATCGTGCACCAAACATCAAAACCTTTCTTACTATATTGCAGCCTGTGACTAAAAACGTTTGCAGAAGACATTTGCCAGCCTCGTCTAAGCGTAAAACGTTGACCAATAAATTTTCATCGAGTCACCCGCCGAAAGAAGTGGACAGTGGTGGTGCACTAACGAGGTAAACATTTTACTGTCCACCCCGGGGCCCGGGCGAGTTTAGGTACCTACATGTCTTGGCCGGGACACTGGAAGTCGTAACGAGGCGCGTATATAGCCAGAGTGGCTGCCGTCGTTTAGCCTTTTTATGGTTCCTGCCCTGACTGGACCTGTAGTATGTCTGGTGTGCTAGATGGCTGAGACTGGCCCTGGAGCTCGCGCTGCACACGGGGCCAAATTAAACAATTAAGGACACTCGTTTGCTTTCTCCAAACGGCCAATAAATGGCCAAATGGTGGAATGTGATACACGGGGCAGCGTGCACATGGGGTGTCACTCTGACCCACTGGAGAATCATTCAAAAGTTCGAACATAAACGATCCTATTCAAAACAGTAAACTTCAATATTGCTACGACGCCAATTGTTTCTTGAAGCGAATAGCATATAAATAGGACGCCATTGTAGGGGGATTTTATTTAGCAGAAATTTCGCGATGCAGTTTCAGTTTTTGCCTGCATTCCTTCCGGTGGCACCGAAACGCAAGGAGTGAGTTGCAGAGTTCTTCCGGTTCTGGCGCAGTAGTGTGTTGTAAAGACGAATCTTTATCAGTTCGGAAAGCCATGCGGGGAATTTTTATTTATTGAGTGAGAAGAGGGAGCCCACTGAGGATCTGAGCAAAAAAGTTACTTCTCAATCTTGATAGTGCATTCGAATCGCGAAAACACGAACGGAAGTAGCGTTGGTGGTGGTGCAGTATACAGTGAGTTCATTTGCAGGATAGAATCCTGGGAAATTGGATACAGTTGAATGCATCGGCGTAACTATGGGAGGGTGATTAGCAGTACAAGGGATTCAAACCACATGAAAAAATCGTGCGTGTTCTTATTCTTGACTGAACACATCTGAGCAATGGTCCTCCCTACAGAGGGTCTAGTACAAGAGAAGAGCGGTTTCAATACAAACTGATTTCTAGCAACACTGCCAATACAATCAAGATAGGCGCTGCTCGATTGACTCTGGCTTTGACAGTTCGTTTGGCTCAAAACCAGCCAGTCCCCGAGTAGAACACTTTCATCGCAATAAGTTACAGCAACTTGTTTATGACTGAAATAAGTTGTATATAAGTTTTTAAAATTGATTTGTGACAAGCGTGTTACTAGGGTCCGGTCCTCTCTAGTCCTCCCTACATATTTCCTAAAAGTAATGTCAATTTCGGTGCCATAAGAACGCCACAACCAAGCAGCCTTTATGACATAAGGATCAGTCAAACGCACTTTTCTACAAGTTGCGTTTGTTTCGGTTTCGAAACACTTAATTTTATACTTATTTATTATTTTTCGGATAACTTAATTTTAAAAGAAATGTTAGTCTATACGTTCCATTGTTAACGTTAAGACTTAAATACTTACCATGTGTGTCTGTTACATGCCCAATAACCTTAATTAACTTTGACTCATTATTGAATTATTCAATTCTCATGATCTTATATATCCCATGTAGAAAACATTCAAGAGTTCAGATCATATGATCTAATAGTTCAACCAGGACTTGCAATACCCAAAGAGATTCATAAGTATGTAAGCACCATTTAAAATCTTCTATCATGTATACTAGATGTTTATCAGCAACAATCAAGCAAATTGCTAGAGTCTATGCGTTCTAAGTTCGTTTATCTGGGGTTATTGAAGATAATCAATATTTTTCTTTATGTATGTATGTATGTATGTATGTATGTATGTATGTATGTATGTATGTATGTATGTATGTATGTATGTATGTATGTATGTATGTATGTATGTATGTATGTAAGGTAGCCACCATCCCTTCAAGACTTGTCTTGTATGCAGCTCCACTTAATAGCAAGATCAATTTGAGCTACCGATCTGAATTCACAATATCGCTGTATGAATAATCGAATAATCGAATAACACAATTCGCAATACTTATTAAGCTTCCTACTGGATGGTTTGTTAAGAAGGGCGCGTCAATTGCCCTGAAACTGTTGAAGTAGAATCCACACCACTACAATTGAATCTGTAGGATAAAGAAAATGATAGTGTTTATTCCCTCCTAGACTCCGGGTGTCAATCATACCATCGTCCAGTTTCAGTTTGAATGATACCCTGATGCTCCCTCCCAACCCAGTATTTATTATTATTATTTTTTTCATTACTTTTCTTTATTTCCAAAAAGGACACAATTTAAGTGGGATCCTACTCTCTGCTCAGGGTAGTCGAGCAATTTTTTAACCCGAAAAATTCCTAAACCGAACCCAGCCGCCTCCAGCATGCTTTTTCCTTTTAACTGCGCCTTTACCGACTGAGCTAAGGGAGGCCCACGTTTAAAAAAAATGTGTATGAATTCTTTAATTCCATATAGATATCGTTTTTGAGGTCATCGCTCTGGTTGATTTATTTGAACATTGAAATCTTAGCTCAAGGACAATTTGCAGAACCTTGAATGCCCAATATTCATGGGAGTTGAACATCAATAACGCACATACAAACTACGATGCTGCTGAGACATGTATCGCTACTGTAAGGTGAGACGATTTGAACTCAATTAGGAATTGGCCAACCTAAATCAATAAATTGATCTGAATTTCAGGCTTATTGAAAGATCCTATGCATGGAAGTGAGACTTCTTAATTGAATTTGCTTCGATACGTCTCGTTGCTGGAGATATCTCGCAAGTTTTGGTTGATCTAGCAGATCAAATTAGCTTAACCCGAACATAAATTGGAGGACTTGAACATTTTTTAACTATGAAATTTGATCGCATGTATTCTTTAAATCTGCGTGAACCTCTTTATTTTTCTCAAAATGCCATTGGAATTATCTTCTTAGGATTTCTTCAAACTAGTTCTCTTAAAATTCGATTGTCGTGGTATTCTTCTCAGAATTCCCTTGAAACTCTCATCAGACCAACAAAAAAAATGGACAGTAGAGGGTGTAACTCACCTGGAGTTCTTCTCACAATAACCGTGGAACTCTTCCTAGAATTGACTTGAAGTTCTAGTCAAGTCAGCCCTTTCCAAAACTTCCCTTGAATTTTACATTGAAATATTTTGGTGTATGGGGTCCTGTTTCCCGGGGTTTGGTATTTTTCATTTCAGAATACCTGGATAAACCTGGAATTCCGGGTTTACGACGTTTAAAACCTTTAATTAAATTCATCAATAATAAATGTTTAATAGTTTAGAAAATTTTGATGATTTTGGACTGCATTTATTTATGACCAAAGAAAATGTTACCAGGCCAAAAAAAAAACAAATTTCAAACTTTACCTCTCCGATTTACACGAAACTGTTTGTTGAAAATAAAATTAAAATTTGCTTTACACCACGGGGCAATAAGAAACAGGTCGTTGTCATAAACACAATTTCTATTATCTTTTTCTGTTTAAGCTAGCACAATCTTAATGGATTTCATCAGTTTTTTTTATTATTCATCTATTCCTATACCTTAGAATACTTTATATTATCTTGAAACTGTTTAGAAATTTTCTTTAAATTCACTTCATAACTATGTTTTAAGATTTCTCTGAATTTCTTAGCTTCTTTCAGAATGTTCCACTAAATTTCTGTAAAATTCTTTAAATCTTTTCCCAAGTATCGTTCTAAATGCCTTTTGTAATTCCCCTCAGAACTCCCTTGCACTTCTAGCAATTCTGTTTTCATAATTCTTCGAAATTCACCTCAAAATTTATATAAGTTATATTTTAGAACACTGTTTTAATTGTTTTTAATATAAAACTTCATTTAATCGCAGATGTTCTCAAAGATTTTATTAAATTGCTATTCAGAAACCCTTTTAAAAAATCCATGTTATTCGATTCTCCTGGAACCGTTCTCTTGGAATTCTTCTCAGGATTCCTTTAAAGATTGACTCAGTATTCAAATCATATCCCCGGATATGAGTGTTAAGGCAACTCTTCACTACTAATTTTAAATTATCCTAATAATGCACCAGATGCTCAGAAATTCCCGTGCTTTGTTATTTTCCCATAATTGCTTGGAATTACCCTCCGAAATATTTTTCAATTCTACTCAAAATTCCTCGAAGTGCCGGACTCTTAGAGGCCCATGGACATTGGATCCGTTGGTAATCCGTTGCGGCAAAACTGACAGTTTTAGCTGTCACTTTTCTGCAACGTACCCAACTAAATATTCAGCCTTCTATGTATTTTTTTTTTTTAATTCAGTTTCTTTTATTTTTTCCAATCGTATCTATAACCCCTTGCTTTGATAGCTCCCTTACTTCGCCAATGGATGTGCCTGTCATGATTGAATTTTCAATCCTATGCAAACCATCACCGTAGGTAGCTAGGTAGG